GAGCAGTATATGAAAATATTTTTCATTGTTTTCGCTTGACTGAAAGGTAAGAAAGATAAAACCGCTATAAGATATGCTATACAGTCTAATTATTTGATAGAAACCCTCAACCAGGGGCAATGAAATTCACAGTTTTGAAAGATGCATAATCATGGATTAGTTTATCTGCTAAGTACCAAGGAGCTGAGGAGAAGATTTACAAAGAAACAATGCACTTTCACTCTATAATTAATAGAGCCCCGCCCTAACACCAGAGCCTCTGACCCTGGGGATATGACATTCACGATTTTGGTAGAAGCACCCTTGTTCATCATAACTATGCATTTTGTTTGTGTATTTATACCCAGGAGAAGAGAACATTTTCAAAGAAATAATACACTTTTACTATATAATCTATAAAGCCTCCCCCCATTGCAGAACCCCTCACCCTGGGGCCACAAATTTCACAATTTTGGAAGAGGGACCCTTAATCATCATAAACATGCAAATAGTTTATCTGCTTTGTATAAGGGAGAGAGAAGATTTTCACTATATGATCAATAGAGCCCCACCCTCACTCCAGAACCCCTGAATCTGGGGCCATGAATTTCACAATTTTGGTATAGGACTCAATGCTTGTTATCATCATGCTAAAAGTTTGACTGCTTGATATCCAGGATTAAAGGAGAAGATATTTAAAGATTGCATTAATTTGATTGTTTTAGCCCCACCCTCGATCATGACTCAGGTGGCGAGGACCATGAAATTCATAATTTTTGTTCTCCTTTACCAATAGATGTTGTATGCCAAAATTGGTTGAAATTGGTCCAGTGGTTTCTGAGAAGAAGCTGAAAATGTTCTAAAGTTTACGACAGATACACGACACACGACGACAGACAAAAACAAATAACAATAGGTCGGTCACTTAGCGACTCAGGTGACCTAAACAAGGTAAGAATGTTTTCATATGATCTGATAAACATATGATTGAATTAAAAACTGCTACGCAGTGTTCAGGAAAAAAGTTCGAAAGAGGGAGTTGCAGAAACTCGCGATTATTCCCAACATCGAGAAGAACATTTCAATACCCAAGATGCATGAAGAATTATCTCTAAATATAGATACAGCTACATAGATGACTTTATTTATACGGCGGGTATGTCCAGCTTGTTATAAAAAAACACTGCACATTTTATGTTTATTGCATGCATAGTTTTTTCCTACATAGCAACCGACTAGCGACCTGTTGCTGGACTTTTTTTTTTAAATACATTTTTACATGTGTGTGTTACTGTCGCCATATTGTATGAGTAAGCTTAGAACGATAAAAAGCAACAATTGCCAATGCACCTCGCACGGCATTTTGAAAGATGTACTGTAGACAACGTTCGAAAATATTTTTCAATAAATAAAACCGTGTCCCATAATCGCCCTGCTGATGCTACATCCAAGACATTGCGCTGAGTCAATTCAATTTATTTGTTTCAAGTCAAATCTGAGCCACTATGTAACAGAACAAAAATGAAGCGAAATAGGTACATTTATGTAAAAATTAAATTATTTAAAACAATACTTTATTTTAAATGACATCGTTACTTAACTAAATAATAGCATTATGTCTTATTACTTTTACAGTGTATAATACTGTTGTATCAGAAAAAAATAGCATCGTTTTGTGTTATTTAAAATTCTTCTTTTTATCTGTTACATCTTTAAGGAAATTAACAAAAGAACTGCAACACACTTGTTAAGTACATCAATACCAACGACTCCTAGACTCACGGCTACAGGACGATCTTTATATATACACTTATCTTTGACAGCTTAAAACGCTATGGCTAAAAATAGAATTTAGAAATACATATTTATAATTTCATTATTAAGACAAATCAAATAAAGTAAATGTGAAAATTTTTCCAATTATATTTTTTTTTGTTTATTGACAGAATTGTTAGTTTTGTTTGCGAAAAAGGAAATGAAATTGATCAAATTGATTTATATTTTACATTACATACTAGTCATTAAAAGATATTTTTGTATCATTTATGCAAATAATAAATGAAATGAGTTCACCCTTTTGTTCCTTGGGTTAACATGCAGTTCTTTTTTATATCCTCTGCAGATATTGTTATGGCATTATGTGATGTTATAGGACTTAAAGAATTGATAACAAATCCTTCTCAAATGAAACAACACAAATTTAGTAATGATAAATGTTGTATACAGTCAAATGACACTAGATAACGTTTAAATGAGCTCTATACCGACCACGCATAAAAAAGTTGATTGTTGAGAACGTTTTAACTACCTACTAATATTATAAAATATATTATTAAACGTTTGTTGTGGTACAAATGAGGTTTTAATTATTCTGTGCCCTTTTCTACGCTTTCAGAGAACATCACATGTTCCCTCGCATATTTAACATACTGAAAAAATAGATAGGGATGCTTTCTCCTCCTAGGCACCTGATCTCACCTCTGGAATTTTCGGTCATCATTATTTTATGGCAAGTTGTTTACAAATGCATTGCTTGTATGGTTTTTTTAGATATCGATCACTGATATTGTAATTCCAGGTGGAGTGAAGACAATATCCTTGTTTCATCAATAACAGAATGAGAATGGAAGAAGCACACAAAATTTCCCCATTCCTTTACTAGTGCTCTATCTCATACGTCAGGAATGTGTTAATCATATTTTGCATTTGAATTACCTCTTTTCTAACACAACATCGTACAAGTTAATTAATGATGTTTCATTTTAAATGATTTAATTAAGTATACGTCTATATTAAACACTATTTTGAGAATATCAGGTACATACATTGTATAAATCTGTTAAACCTTCTTCACCATTGGTGCACATTGATAAATTAGTTGAAAGGCCTTCGTACATGTATATGTCATAGGCCATGAAGGGCAGATAAGTGTTGTAAAAGTTCTTCGTAATAGATTAACCGTGTAACGACAATGTATTCGATAAACCATGCAGTGCAAACGATATATGTAACGTGTAAAACAATGCAATTGTTTTCTATTAACTGCAATTGTAAAAGGAAATCGTGGCAACTATATTTTATGTAAAGATTAAATCATGATGAGTATTTTACATTCTCTATTTAACAGTAACCTCTACAGGACAAATGACTGAAAATACTGTTACACTTCCTTTTCAAGACAAACATTGCATGGATTTTCCGATCTAGTTCTGCATACTATGTAAGCATAAGCATAATTTAAATGATAACTTGTATCAAGGGGGAACATATCCAAATATTTATTTTGAATCTTTAAATATTTATTTGGATCTGCAAAAGAATGAAACGCAAGCAGGGCTTGTTTTTTCCTGCAGATAGGAAAAGTATTGTTTAATTAAGTAAGTGCCATGTAACTTATTCAAAGATGTTTGAAATGATTTCCATTTTATTTCCAGTTTTACAAGTCCCTCTGTTAAAGACTTGTTTGCTGCCCCCTGCTGTATGATCTTTATAACACATTTTTTTCAGTGGACTACTTTCTTTTAAATGTTGAAAATGTAGTATTATCCTATGATATAAAAAGACTTGGCCCTTCAGAATCAGATACAAAAAAGACAATAATTTCAAAGTTCATTAAACAGATGGAGCAATATATAAAAATATTTATCACTGTTTTAACTATAATGAAAGGTAAGAAATTTAAAACCCTCTCAAGTATAATATGTGTCCTTTTTGTGGACATGAGAGATTTTTTAAATTAGATTAATTTTCATTATTTACGTATTCATATAGTGATATATAAATTCCTTAAAATGTGATGAATGAATTACCTTCAAGTTTTACTTTTGCAATGTATGACGTTGTATGTAATTCATATGAATTCGTTGCCACGCACTTATTGTAACGGAATGATATTTCCATGTTTTTTATTGTAATGCAGAAACATGGATATAAATGAGTATTTCAAGACATAATACTTTTCAATAACAAAAGTTTTCTTTCTATCAAACATTCAATTTTTCTGCACAGTTGGTTGCTAAATGGACCATCCCGAATATAAAAAAAAAACAACAGGCTTCAGGGAATTTTAATTATTTATTCATGAATTATTCTAGCATACATTTACAATATGTTCAATATGAAAAAATTATATGTTTCATCGCGCAAATTCGCGAGAAGTTCCAGTCGCAAAATAAAATTACTCGCTTTTATTTCTATATTGCCGAAATACAAATAAAATCAACTGATCAACTATGTAGTTGCTAATCCATGTTCTCACAATTTGCCGTCTACGAGTCATTTCGCTTTTTTTGAGTACGTACGTAAAATAAATAACCTACAATAGTCACGGTATCGTAAAACAGAGGAGGAAAATCACTGATTTGTTTACATTGGATCCCTTTTGGATAGCGGACATAAGATCATGTATCTACTTTATGTCACCAATACGTGTCATCATATCTTGTTTTGGTACATTTTTTTTTATATCTTGAATGATGCTATTTCGTTGTTCATGCATTCCTCTTTCATCCTACTATCCATCATCAAACGTGCAAAATGTTACAAAATTTGGAAATGTAAAATTAAAAAGTGATGTGGATACGACATCTAGCGGCTAAAAGGCGAGTTTCTTATTTATGATTTATCATTAAAATTCTGTTTGGAAATTATTGTTATACAATGACATTTGATGTCAGAGTTGATGTCGTATACTGTGGCTAAGAATAAGGCTATATATCCAACAAAATAATTAAGCATCTTTTGCAAAGAAATGAGTCTTTAATATTGTCTTGGAATGATATGAAAGATTGTTACTCTATTATACTTGATGCACAGCACTCGCTTCTTTGTTTGATTAGGTAAGTGTCTTTTGGTCAAACAAGCTGCAGTTTAAAACAGTTTACAGATACATATACATTCAATGAGAGATGATTTATCCATTTTCAAATTCAAAAAATATTTTTATTTCAAAATTTAAAAAAGGTAATGTATAATTAAGTAACAGTGATTATTTTGATGAAATAAAAAATACATTAGAAGTCATGTCGGTTATCCTTCTCAAGTACAGCAAAAGTAAAACATGTATTACTTATATTTACATTTTTTCACTTACTTTAAAGAATAAAACGTTTAGGTAAAATTCAGGAAAAGGACCCCCCCCCCCAAAGTTTAAAAATATTAACTGGAAAATATTTTGCCAATACATTGATGGCAGTGAACTGATTGTCAGAAAGAACTATATCTTGTTTATTGATAAGTTTTCAATGATTGATGGAAAACAGTTAAAGCTGAAGTTTACATTTTTAATGTTAAACATTTGGAAAATATACATATTCAGTTTTAATCGTTGGAAAATTTTATAGTGATTTATGCAATGATTTTTTTTATGCAGGAACCTCCTGTTTTTCCTGCTTAGAATGGATTTCATCCCTTGATGGAAAATATCGGAAACATTGTTACTGGTTCGACCGTTCCCTTTCAGTGACGGCATTTGAAGCAGACGAGTTTTGCGCTCTAAGTGGAGGCCGTTTGGCGCCCTATATCGACAGTTACCAGTATAATTACCTCCTTGAGCTCCGACCACCTACAGCGTAAATCTGTTGTTCCCCCTTTTCGTTATCCTTGAATTTGTTTTTGAAAATATTCTTGTTTGTGTATGTGATTGATTATTTCCATGAGTTTATTTCATGAAAATAATATTTATATCTAATTTATATCTATCCTTTTTCATCATAATTGTAAATGTTTTGCTTTTAAATTGAAAAGCAAATGAACATGACATTTCATTGTGTGCACTTGAATGAACGCACATGTCTGTCGATTTTTTCCCCATTTAGTGCAAAAGTACATCATTTATTTGTAAGGGCAATTAATGTTTCATCATATATGATAAAAATTTTATTTCAAACAAATCAGTATTTTCTGTAGAATGTATTAATTTTCAGGGTTGACACATTTATAGGAACAATGGACATTGTAAAAGAGGACACCTGGGTAAACTTTGATAGCAGTAGTATCCCCGGAAATGAATTTTTATTTACGATGACAAATTATCCTTATGATCAACCTAATGGAGGCACCACTCAAAACTGCGCTGTAATTAATTCAAAATCTCTTTCGGGAGTATATGTCGAAAATCGAACAAGCGACGTATCGTGTCTCAATGACTACAAAACGACGGATATGTTGTGTTACAAGGAAGGTATGTTTGTATTTTTAAGATCCTTGCTCTCTCCTGTATAATAAGTATTCTCAGTAAAAAATAATTTTGAACCTGAAATCGCCTATACATTACTATTGTAAATATTAGCTACATTTAATCAACTCTTTGTATCTGAACTTGAAAGATTAAAGGTGCGATAGAATCAAGAGAAGAGGCCGATGGGCCACAGTGCTCACCTGAGTAACTATGGCCCTTCTTTTCTTCGTCAGCTTGCTTTTCTTGAGAAGATTATTAAAGATTTACCCTATATATTCCTATGTATAACTCTGGTTCTTCATTGTGACCCATCCTACCCCCGGGTTAAAGATTTGAGCAAACTTTAATCTATATTACCTGAGGATGCTTCCATATAAATATGATTGATCATGGCTTTGCTGTTTTTGAGAAGAATTTTAAAGATTTCTACCTTATACTTCCATGTAAAACTTTGATTGCCTATTGTGCCCCCACTCTACCTTCGCGGTCATGATTTGAACAAAATTGAATTTACACTACTTGAGGATGGTTCTGTATACAGTAAATACGACTAATCATGGCTTTGCTGTTTCTGGAGAAAGATTTCTCCTTTATATTCTAATGTTAAACGTTGTCCCCCAGATTTTTGCTCCAGCCTACCCGTACAGTTCAAGTTTTGAATAAACTCTAATCTACATTTATTTACCTGAGGATGATTCCATATTACATGTAATATGACTGATCACGTCTTTACTGTTCTTAAGCAGATTTTTAAAGATTGTTGCTATGTATTCCTGTGTAAGTCTTTGATCGCCCTTAGAGGCCCCATCCTATCTCTGAGGGACATAGTTTGAGAAAACTTGAATCTTCGGCTCAAATGAGATAAAAATATTTGAAATTATCTACATATATTATGAAAAGTGTCTTTATAAAAAAAAGGACATTACACAAAGAATGGGGGATTACAAGACGAGGACATTCCCCCGCTCTGAGACCATATAATTCTCAATTTAAAAGTTCATGGACAAGTTTTATTTTTAAATGAACTCTAACAATATGTATTATTGATTTCACTGAAATTTCACCTCCAAAAAGACAATGATAAACCATATCAGCGAACACAATTGCAGTGAATTCTTTTTTCAATGTTCTACAAAAATAACGACACATTAGTATATATGGTTGTTTAATAACTGGTTTCCTTGATAAAATCATATTCTTCTCAGTATATCACAATTATGGTATAGTTGACACTCATTCATATCTTCGGTAGCCTAGAGTTTCTGATCCACTCTAAACCTCACAGATTTCGGTGTATGTTTCTGATCCACTCCACACCTCACAGACTTTGGTGTATGTTTCTGATTCATTCCAAACCTCACAGACTTCGATGTATGTTTCTGATCAACTTCAAACCTCACAGACTTCGGTGTATGTTTCTAATCCACTCCAAACCTCACAGACTTCGATAAGTTTCTGATCTACTCCAAACCTCACAGATTTCGGTGAGTTTCCGATCCACTTCACACCTCACAGACTTCGGTGTATGCTTCTGATGCACTTCACACCTCACAGACTACGGTGTATGTTTCTGATCCACTCCACACCTCAAAGACTTCGGTGTATGTTTAAGAGCCACTCCACACCTTATAGACTTCTGTGTATGTTTCTGATCCATTCCACACCTCACTGACTTCGGTTTATGTTTCTGATCCACTCTAAACCATACAGACTTCGGTGAGTTTCTGATCCACTTCACACCTCACAGACTTCGGTATATGTTTCTGATCCACTCAAAACCTCACAGACTTCGGTGAGTTTCTGTTCCACTACAAACCTCACAGACTTCGGTGAGTATATGATCCACTCCAAACCTCACAGACTTCGGTGTATGTTTCTGATCGACTCCAAACCTCACGGACTTTGGTATATGTTTCTGATCGACTCCAAACATCACGGACTTCGGTATATGTTTCTGATCCACTCCACTCCTCACAGACTTCGGTGTATGTTTCTGATCCACTCCAAACCTTACAGACTTCGGTGTGTGTTTCTGATCCACTCCACACCACACAGACTTCGGTATATGTTTTTGATCCACTCCACACCTCACAGACTTCGGTGTATGTTTCTGATCCACTCCAAACCTCACAGACTTCGGTGTATGTTTCTAGCAATATTCGAATTTGTTCTGAAAGGTTGATTGTTTATGGACTCTTTTGGAATATTTTGTCCACTTGGCATGTATGCTCCAAAGCTATCTTTGCTTGTGTCTGTTCTAATTGTTTCATGACCATTTGTTTCATGACTATGTTCATGGGAAGGAAAAGCTCACAAACAATTTTATCATTCATTAAATGGCCATGTTGTCAAGCCGAACATTGCTATATTCTGTTTCTTTTAACTAATAAATGTAATAAATAACACTGAAACCTGATTACTGATTGATTATTTTTTGAGTAAGTAATCCAGAGAGAGAGAGAGAGAGAGAGAGAGGGAGGGAGAGAGAGAGAAAGAGAGATATTTAATCCACTGTTATTGAAAATCGTGAAAACAAATGTAGTTTAACATATCTCCATTTGCCATTCAGTGCAGCTCTATTTCCTCGATATACTTCACAAAAGTCTCGCCATAGTTACTGAAAATTTCTCGAGTCTCATAATTTGCTGTTCATCGAAAAATCAAGGTTTTGAACACATTAATAGGGGTAAATTTAGGCCAACTTCTGAAGAGCAACGGATCAGAAATACTTGGCCAGCGTATTCAGATGTCACACTGTTTTTTCTTTATATCAAATGACATAAGTGACATAGCCAACTCGCCAGAATTTGACATTGATTCTTCAATGAAATATGATAATATGATATCCTATCACAATAATGGGTGATTTTTTCTTATCAGAAGGAATAAAAAGTAAATACAGCTTCACCTGCTTGAACCAAAATCCTCAAAAATCCAGGATTAGATATACACGAATTCAAGTAAATCGTCTTTAAGATTTGATAGGGTTTTGAGGAAACATATGATTTTCCAGATTGGACTAGTCGTTGTTTATTTTGGAACTCTACAGCCGACAAGAAATACAGACAACACTGCTATTGGCTGACGTCCAAAACGTCCAATCATCAGACCACTTGGACCGTACTGGACGCCATGGACAAGTGTCGGTGTGAGGGTGGACAGCTAGCCCCTGTCATAGATGATGATCAGTTTTCCTTCATCACGAATCTTCTCAGTTCTGTTGCCAAGTGAGTATTTTATCCTCGGAATTTGTGAGTGATCAACTTCTAGAAAAGAAAAAAATATGTGTTTTTTTAAATAACAAAAATCTTGATAAACAAGATTCTTTATTTATTCCAAATGAATCTTCTTGGTAAATTAAATGAGTCTGTAATGGTGCTTTAAGACGCTGTGTCTCTTTTTAAAAAAAAGTCCATATATTGACTAATTCAATGCATTCTCAAAGTTCATGTTATTAATGTTACTTAATTCAAATTTCTTTTAAAGATATTTTCTTCTTTAAAAATATTTGAATTCCAAATCAGATCGTGAATAAAATGTTCGAAGTATTAAAATAGAGAGATTTAAAAGCTTGAATTTTAATGTACTAACCATATTCCAGGCTTGTTGTTAGTTTCCTTATTATCATCATCTGTCTATTTGTTTGCAAATCTTTGGTAGGGAAACATTTGTACCCTATAACTACATTTACCGAACCTACAGAATATAATTGTGCTGAAGAAAAAATATTCTTATTTTCTCCTTCACTCTGTTCATCCGAAAATAAAACATTTTTTTTTCTGAACCATAATTGAAAACAACTAAATTCAAAATAAACAAAACATTTATTAGTTATGAGTTATATACTCAGCCCTACACAAAATATTTCTTTGTTTGTTTTTGTTTGTTTGTTTGATTGTTTTGCTTGGTTTTGTTTTTGTTTTGTTTTTTCATTCTATAATGTACAATTTTAGATTTTATATACATGTATAAAGACTTCCGCAACAGATTCTGATAAAGAAATATTGATCTATATTTAAGATTTAATGTACAATTCTTAAGATATCCATTAATTTTACTTACAGTATATAATTCTGAAATCAATATCATCCTTTGAAAATATGAATTGTAGATGAAGGACAGCACTTATCATCTTCGTGAAAACTTAACATTCTACAACGATATGAAATGTAATAAAAAATATAAAAAATATAATATCAAAATAACAGTTAAAAAATTCAATGCGCTGATTTTCTTCAGACATTGTATTTTTTAGCTAAGTATGAACTCTAAATACCCAAGACATTTTACTCATATATTAAATTGCATATCTAATTCATACGCTTAAGAGAAAACATATCGAACACTCTACATATAAAATAGTTCACTTATGCTTATGAAAAGAAATTAATTAAAGTTTCATTGAATTGCAATAAAGATCAATCCTAGCACATTTAGGTAGAAAATTGACGTTTCAAGATCTAATTTCGGCCGATATTTTTTTCCTATTTATTTTCATAACGGAAAAAACAACATTTTTCCGCATCTCCCTCTTTTAAAATCAGAATTAACTTCATTAAAATCTTTAATTTCAGACCGTTTATGAATTTATTATTTTAGACACCCATGGTCATATGCTTATCTGTCTATTTTATTTGCTTAATTTGATAAATGTATACACATTTTACGTTTATTATAGAATGACTTCTGTGGCTTCTTCGCTATTCAGGTACAGAGAACTAGTGTACATTTAGAGGCAAACACTCAAGCGCGTGTACATGTATTACTGTCTTATGATAGCATAAATTATATCATTTAACGTCCCATTCGAGAATTTTTCACTTATAAAGAAAAAGGTAAGGGCTTCAAATTTAGACCTATCCTCGGTACTTAGGGCCATTGAGCAATGTATCTTTTGTATCTTACCAACGCCTTCTGTGACAAGGGACTTCGGTTGTTAAGGTTTCATCCGAAAGACCCGCGACTTCACTTCTTTCGCCGGACGCTTGGCGAAAGGGCAGTCACTGCCTATGTTTACGTTTTAGGTTTGACGAGGCACGACGAACGAGAATCGAACCCCGGCCTCCCGATCACGAAGCGAACACCCAACCACTAGGCTACCGTAACCTTCATTTATGATAATAAGTTGAACAATAACAAAGGTGATCACAATTATATGTAAAGACACGAACTGCCATTATGAACCTCAAAATAGAAATGCTCGATGAATGTTGATTGTTTTGGAGTTTTTTTGAAAAGGGTCATAGCTAATTTTATGCCTTTGCAAACATCAGCTCAACAGATATAAATACGGGGCTGTGGCTTGGTTCTCATAACATTAAAGGTACCCCTATGAACTGGAATGGTGATCCTATGGAGGCTACTACAACCATTACCGCTCCCTCAGGGGATTTGTGTTTTCTGACCACGACGGGTGGAAATCAGACCTGGGGACCATGTAGTTACACAGACCCATCTAGGGTCTCTGGAGCTCTCTGTTATAAGGAGGGTGAGTATAAATATTTCTAGGTACAATACCAAAGCTGAAAATTTTATATTTTATATGCGTGGGAACATCTGACGTTTTATAACAGTGTTAAAGAGGCACAGGATGGAAAAAAACTAACACAATAACAAACACTAAGGAAGTATTGCGACTTGAAATACATTTTATAGCATCAGTAGGTCATCAAAACGTTCTAACCAGTAACAAAATGGCTATAAGTGGTTTGTAAAATTTTTTTAATCTGACTAAAGCTAGACCTCTATTTACGCTATTGCATAGAGCCTCTTTGCGATAGCGTAAATAGAGACCTAGCTTTAGTCAGATTGAAATTTTGTAATTCAATAATCACAGGCAAACATTTTGACTACAACCGATATTTATCATTCTTAAAGTCCACAAAGCTTAGTAAATTGTGTGTTGTCTCATTTTGTGAAGGATTTGTTATCGATACTATGAATCCCACAACACGAAGTAATGCTACCACAACGTCGGTAGAGGAAATCAAAAAGGAACTACATGTAAACCCACAAAACACTAATGGTGAATATTTCATTTTTATTTGATTAAAAGATAAATATTTTTTTTCATATGATGTATAAATTTAAAGAATATCATTTAACCAATTTCATTTCTTCATTTTCGGAACGATCACAAATAGTTCCGTATACAAAAGTCACAAAAATAGTTCCATACCAAATTGGTTTGATTAATTATCTTGTTTTTTATCTTGTATTTTAAATACAGGTATTTATTTCAAAATTTTATTTTCAGCGTTTAAGCTGACAAAGATAAGTGTGTATGAGGATCGTCCTGTAGCTGTGAGTATGGGGGCCGTTGGTATTGCTGTGCTTGTATCTGTATTTGTTTTCATTATCTTGTTGGACTGTCAACGAAAGGGGAAGCTCTCCTCCAAACAAAAGACAACAAAAATTGAAACTATGAAATAAACTGCATGGAGCAAAATCAGTGTGCTATTCAGTAAGGATAAAGATGAATTTATGTGATTCCTTGGAAAGAGTTATGGATCTGTACATATTTAAAAAAACGTATTCATTTTTTCAATAATTTTATTTTATTGTCTTGTTGCAGGCACGTAGAAGAAGGGGATGCCCCCCCCCCTTTTATCTGAACATAACTTTTTACTGTTGTACTGTTGAAAACGTTCAATGAAAGTCTGGTCCCCCACTTTTTGTGCAGGATCGTTAAATCATTGTAATATGGTAATATATTTGATAATATCTGGTTATGAAAAAAAGTTGGAACCCCCTCCTCTTCCTCCACCCTACCATAACGAAATACATGTAGGATTTTGGAGTTCTGGAATTTACCACAAAAAAAATTTGTCAAAAGACTATTTTCAGGTAAGTTGTCAAATAATTTTTTTTTGTCAAAAACGATACTACTACTTGCCTGAGTTGGTTGCGTTAATACAAAGTACAATTCCTGATAGGAACAACATTTTCATGTTTTCCTTATAAACAAAATGATTTTTTTATAATCACTATTTTATTTATTTTGATGTTCTACACATGCTTAAATGTTCATTTTACTTAAACGGGAATCATTCTTGGATCAAAATAAGATTTTTTGTCTAGTGTGAGCATTGTGTAGGTTTATTTTTAATACATCCGATATATTTTATAAATGTCCTTAAATTACAGGCACGAATACCTGGTAGTTAATTCCCTTAGATAAACCATACCTACTTACCACTTTCCTAAAAGAAATATTACCTGAAATTCAATATATGTTTAGCAGATATCAGCTTAATTTCACCATATGACATGAACCATTTCCTCAGAGTTCAATTTGACTATTGTGGTATAGAACTCATTAAAACCAAAGGAAAAATTTGAATATTTTTCCGTCTCAGCTTTACCTAGACCCTGCAATCACCACTCAAGGCACACTATAACAAATGGCTTATCATATACAAATTGCCATTTTTCTCTGTAGACTTCTTGATATAATATTTAAGAATTCGCAGAGACTTGCTAAGCCATTGATTAATTGCTCTTCTCTGCATTGAGTCAAGGATTAAAAAAAGGCTACGATACATAAATTATTCTTTTGAGCTTCAGTTGAAGAATAAAGTAGGATGAAAATTTTGGGGTCTGCTTAATATATGGCTTTTCAAAGTATTGGAGATCAATAACATTAGCACAAAAATTAAAATAGTCAAGAAAAGGCGTTGTAGAAAATACAGTGGTGAACAGTTGTGATGGTCGATATAAGGTAATAATAATAATAATTATTATATATATATATATATATAGCCGTAATGAGAATAGTGAAAGAGAACTACTTTATAAATCTATTCTCACCAAAACTGAACAAACATTAATTTTTTGATAAGTTCATGTCTTTCTTGTATAATTAATTTCTTAAATACTTTGTTTATTGAGACTGAGAAAATCATGATTTATTGTCCAATTCAATTTTCCCGAACTTTTACGTTATACTATGACGTCACGGATTTATTCCTTCCCTGCAAAGACACTCATGACGTCATAACGTCATAGTTAACGTTACCAAGCAAAACAAATCAGTTCAAAGTATGTACACCTGAAGAAGGATTGTTAAATCCAGAAAGCGCTTGTGTTAAATGAAATTTGGAAACTGTGAATTTTCTTTTTCTTTTATGATTATATATATATATATATATATATATATATATATATATATATATATATATATATATATATATATATATATATATATATATATATATATGTTAGAGTAAATATGTGTAATCAGGAATTTCATGTATTTTCTGAATTTTAGGAAATACATGAAATTCCTATTCTGCGTAAGAAATACGTGTATTTACTGTTTTCAGTTAGGAAATACATGTATTTACTGAATTTTGCAATACTTTTTACACGTATTTACTGACTGTGATAAAGATGCACAGTTTATTCAATATTTACCTTACCAACTTCAACCCAGTGAGTAGCGTTCAATAATTTGCTGTACATATAACAGTCTTTAAATGATCCACTTTTCATTTAACATGGTTGATGATAAGAAGATGCTTTTCACCGAGCTCTTAACTTGGTATCAAAATGATATTTCTCAATCTGTCAAACTTAATTGATTGCGAAAAAATACATTAAGGAGGAATGCTACACCAAATTTTTATTTAATGAATGTTTAAGACATCCCTCTTGAAATATTGTTTAAGCTTTGAATAGTTCTGAGTCATTTAATCGAATTGTTTTTATGTTGTATTTTTCAGAGAAAATGTTAAAAAAAATGTGTGAATTAATTTAAATGCTTGAGGAGTTTTGTAATAAATGCATAAAATGATTGTAAAATAATACATGTCAAGAAGAGTTGAGAAAACATTTTCAATTTTATGTTATTTATAAAAATAAGATACATTATTTGTGAATATATTTTAAACCTAATGATAAAAGCAACCTGAACTAGATGTGTCAAGGTGACACGAATGCCCTGGATTTTCTGGAATCGGTTGACTATACCACAACATACTTTAACTGTGTAAAATGGTCATCACATAAACACAAAATTAATTTTATAAAATATATTTTTATTTAAAAAGCTAAAATTGCTTACTGACTTTTCTTCACGTTTTATGAGATACTCACACTATGCTACTATGCATTTATTAACAGCGAATTTAAAACCAGTAGGCATCTTATTTACAAATTAAACAATTTTATACTGTTTATTGAAAAATGCAAAAAAAAAAAAAAAAAAAAAAAAAAAAAATCATGAAACACACCGTACATAAAATGTAATGGAGCTAATGTCAGTATTTCAATGATACTTTTTCAATGATGATACCTTAATTGAAAGCATTTCTCCTTAAATGGAATTTTAGAAAGACAGTGCACCGAGTCTTGTACAAAATCAAATTTAATCTATGACGAATGTCAGCTTTTAGAAAAAATCTTTTAAGGTGCTGTTTTAAAAGCAAGCATACTTGTATTTGAACACTCATTGAATATTTCAAAACAAATGTATAGTCATCCTATTTAGTTCAGTAAAAACGTGTAAAACTGGCTAAAATTTTCAGTAAATACATGAATTTTCTGGTCTATTCAGTAATTACATGTATTTCTGAAAACAGCCAGTAAATGCAACATCAATTATGATAATAATTGAATTTATGTATTAAATGCGAGTATTTTCATGTGTGTAACATCTTCATGTATAAAATGCGTTCTTAGATCCACGCCTGTTGGCTGTAAGACAAACATTTACTAGCCAATGGTTTAATGGAATAGGGTCACGTGGTCAGCGGTGCGGATCAGAGCTCAGAACAGTTGTATTTTGATATCCGCACGCTGACTACTGTGTTTACGAAGCACGTGTAATTTGAAGGCCCGCCACTACCCCCTGCAAGCCTACCTCTTTAGTTAATTTTAATGTATCATATGAAATTTTTCTTGGCCAATTTTGTTTGTATGTGCCATCTTTTTGCTATATTTTTCTTAAAAGGTTTGATTTTCTTGTTTTATATGTACTTTTTCTATTCATTTTTTGGGGATCAGACAATTTCATATTTTGCGTAACTTAAATTCAGAGCTTGTGAGTCTGATCACCTATTTGTATGTAAAATGATTTACAGTGACATCGTCATTTGAATAAATGACATTATTCATCTCTTTGAATGTGTTCTAGTCAATTATAAATTTCTAAGCAAAAAACCAGCTGCGGTAAGCCTAATAAGCATTAGAAAACATAAATGTTTAGGAAATTCATGAAATTCCTGATTTCACATATTTACTGTAACATGTATATATGTATATATATATATATATATATATATATATATATATATATATATATATATATATATATATATATATATATATATATATATATATATATATATATATATATATATATATATATATATATATATATATATAGAAAGAAAGAAAGAAAGAAAGAAGGAAAGAAAGAATAGATCCTAACAGTACAGCTGAAAGTATATTGTGTGAATCTTACTCAATAGTCATTTAAACTTCATCGATAGTTTTTCTAACTTGTTTTCTGCTCAAGTAACATTTCCAAACATATTTTTAAAGTAAATATATAACACAGTCAAGTCTCAATTGCACCAAATATTGAAATTTAATGATTCAGTTTAAAAATAAAAACATTTCATCATGAAAGAAGACTACTTTAGCATTATGTACTCATGGTTTATTTATGGCCAAAGAATATTTGCATTTCAATGTTGCGTGAGCAAATGATAATAAATTTTGGCTGTGGCATCGACGTTCATTTCAAACATTCCTGATTATGTAACGTGGCGTTCGGAGAATTGAAAAAAATCTCACTGTCAGACGAGTATTTATCGTAAAGTATCTGTAAAATTTATCTTTGTAATGAGTAACTTGAACGAGTATTTTTCGTGAAATATCTGTAAAATTTATTCTTGTTGTGAGTTACTTGTACGAGTATTTATCGTGAAGTATTTGTAAAATTTATATTTAAAGTCTATGAATAAATATACACTTTACACGTTTTCTAAAATAATATTTTATAAGTCTGTCATTTGAATGTAAAGCTAATGAAATAGCTAAGTTCTTAAAGGTCATAAGAAATGAATGATTTATCGGATTTTTAGAATGTTTTTAATTAAAACTTCATTGCTGATTAGATTCAAACTTCAAAAGTTGAAATTAATTTCCTTTATTGTTGACAACAAAGGCCTTCCAGATCGAAACAATTGACTATGCAAGATCTACAATATCCTACCATGTATACATAATAGAAAAAAATATCTCGTGGCGTCTTAAATAATTTCCAATAATTTTCGATTGACAGAAAAGTTTTACTAGACAGTTTTTTTTTTTGTGAGAGCTGTGACTGTTGCAGTTCCCTGCTGTATGATCAATATAATACTTCTCCGTGAACAAGTTCTTATTTGTTTTTGTTTTTTTTTGGTTTTTTTTTTTTTTTCAGTGGA